GGAGCTGCGTCGGGGAAGGCAGCGGGACCCTTCCCTGCTTCCCCCGGCCTGCCCCGGCGTGCTTGCTCAGCGCGGGCCGGGCAAGGGGACGCCCGTAGAGGTGGGCTGCACGGGGCTGCTCCAGGCTGTCGAGGACTTTCAGCCACACAGAGTTCCAGACCCAAAAACCAACCGTGGAGAGTTACATTTGTCTTTGCCTGTGCGCGTGTTAGGGGTCCTCTGTGTGTGTGTGTTTCAGGTCCTGTGCCACCTCGTACATGCAAGTTTAATTTCACGTGTGTGTAAGACCTTACTAGTGTACCCAGGGCGGAGGACCTTTGAGCTGACACCAAGTAGAAGGCTCAGCAGTCATGGTGCAAATTAGTAGGAGAAAAAAGAAAAAAACAAAACCTAACCAAACAAGATACTTGGCAGAACTCATCTGATTTTATTAACATCTTTTTTTCCTCGGGGTTCAGAGCAGAATACTGCTTAGGTCCCAGTCTGTGAGATGGATCCCACCTGCAAGCTGTAAAACTACACCTGAGCAGAGCGCTCGGAGCACAAGTCCTGGCATTAGCTCTGGCCCCGAGTCATGGGGACAAAAGGTTATTTAGGTTGGAGAACCTATGACACATCTGACAGCCCAGCTGAAGTGAACAGGTGTGGTATGAGGGGAATGACACAACTGTGCCTGCTCAGATTACCAGACTCTACAGTGGTTTCTGAATTTTTAAAGAAAAAAAATTCTTTCTTTTTGAAGAACGCTGCAAGGTTGTACATTCAAAATACTGAAAACATTTCATGTGTCTCTGCTTTTTTGTTCAGCAGACACTTTCTGCTATCCCTTCTGCTTCCCCACTGCCCATCACTATCTAGTCTCTGAGTAACAGACTTGCACCTGCAGTCTTGTGAAACTGGAGAAAGTTTGGTTCTTCACAGCAGCTAAAAAGGAGTCCTAGAGAACAACTTGAAGCCTAATACATACACCCCAGGAGCTTTGCACTGAGAGTAGCATTGCATTTTACATACATGCTGCTTCAATGTAACATGAGAGAGGAACCAAATAATTTTATGGTGGGCATCTTTTGAAAGGTCTCTCTCATCCAACCTTGATTCAAAAGAAAGTTCTTTGAATCTGAAAATGTAACCTCTGACTTCATAGTTTTAAATCTGTAGGACTTAAGCAGGAGAGTAGTAACTTGCTTGGAAATTGATAGTAGCTGTCACGACACAGTTGGTTGAATTTTGAAGTTAAATCTTTCTGTAGTGAATGAACATACTTCAGATAGCAATTATGATTTTCTCCAGTTAACCTTTTGTTATAAATAGGCAGGATTTGCAGGGAGTAGTACCCTTCCTTAGGCCAAGAGCTGATTAAACCAGATGAGACTGAAGAGTATGTAAATTCTACATCAGCCCACCATAGCACAGCATCCCCACCACTCATTTGCTGCAATCAGGTATGCTGTGAAGAAAATGGATGGTGCTGAATTCTTCCCCAGGTTATGATAATTCTGGAAAGCTGTATGTTTTTCTAGTCATTACAACATAGTTTACAGCTGTCCTTACTCAGTATTCTAGTCTTCTCTTTCACTTTGTTGCTTAGTGTGTTCTCTTTCAGCGTTTTATTACAAACGCCTTGAAAAGAGGATGTTTTTTCATCTTTTTTTTTCTGTCTCATCTGATTAGGACTACAAAACTAAACAGTATGAGATTGAATCCAGGTGTGATGTACATCCTTGTCCTGCTAACTTCAGTATATAGAGAGAGATTTGTGTGTGTGTGAAACATGTTTTCACATTTGTTCTATTTCCCTAAAAATGAGAGTAAAAGTAAAATCTTCAGCAGCAGCATGCAAGTCTTCTGGGTTTGTAAATCTCATTTTCAAGGCCATTTTAAAATCTTTTAAGAATTTCAGAGTGGCTTCATCTTATTGCGACTTAGTGCCTGTCGTTTCTGAGAATGGCCCTTGGGCTCTCGTGAGTACTTTTGAAGTGTTTCCTCTTGGTTCCTAAAAGTAACCTGAGGATGTGTTGATGTATGATACTAGTTCTTTAGGCAGAAAGGGCTGAATAAAAGTTCTCTCTCAGTTCACAGTCTGTATTCCTTTACTTGCAGCTGTTTGGGACACTAGTCTGGATTTTGGTGGCTTCCACCCGAGTTCCACTGCCGGTGCTGCAGGGATGGGTGATGTTTGTAGCGGTGACTGCGTGGTTTCTGTCCATCCTGTTCCTCTGCGTGTTCCTCTTCGGCTATGCAAACAGAATTGCTGTCAACTGGAACCAGACGGTGAGATTTCTTTCTATCTATCTATCTATCTATCTATCTATTTATTTATTTAAGGGTTCCTTTTGTTTTATAAACTGAAAATCATTTTTTCAGAAGTACTGATCTTGTCTTAATGCCTGGCCTTCTGTTTAAGTGGAAGATTTTTCAAAACAGAGGTAGTTCCACACTGGAAAAAGAAACAGTAGGGCTACAAGGAGGAAATGCAGGAGCTGTTTTATGATGAAGGCTGAAGAGCCCAGCTTTTGAAACTGATTGAAGGAGTGTAATTGTCCTCTGTGAGCACATAAAGTGCACGGGCAGCAGGAAGAGGACCAGTTTAACAAGGCATGACAACAACTTAATTTAAATGGCCAGAAATTATTGTGGACTGGAAATCAGAAAATATTTTCTGACTATTAGAGAAGTGGTAGTAATGCCCTGTGAATAATGGCAGGTAGAAAGATGCATCCATTGTTGTAAAAGAAGTGAAACATCTGTGATGTGGTTGGCTGAGATAACACAGACTGGACTAAAGCACCCAGGAAGTGTCCTCTGGTTCCTAAGAAAGTCTTCTGCTGACTTTTGGGTCAAGTCCTGAAAGCTGGGGCAGCATTGGTGAGTGACTGTTAGACCTCAGGTAGTCAAAATATGGCATAACTTGCCATATGATAGAGCTTACCATCATTTTAGTCTTAGAGGAAGCCTGGTGGGACTATGGATATCATTGTACTCTGCTCAGCTTCTCTTCATCACAAAGACAAGACTTTACTCTTGCTGTAATGGGTTGCTATGGCTTGTGCCAGTACTTCTCACAGACTGCACCTTCCTTTTAAAAAAGGGAAGCTGTTGGCTCAGTTTTTTACCAACCACATGGATACCTCAGGTTATTTGCTGCTAATTTATGTACTCCTTTGTCGTCATTACCTCTTTTGTACTTTGAGTTTTTAGCACTCAACTAGTTGAGCGTGAGATGGTATCACTCTCTTTTATATTACTGGAAGTTAGTAATAAGAGGTGGCAAAACTGTGATCAGAATGGGATTTTCAAAAAAATATTCCAAAAAGCCCAGAACTTCTAAAATATTAAGGTATGGCTCTTTGTAACTGCTGATGACCTTCATCTTCCTTGTATGTGGCTTAGTTTTCTTATGGACACTGTTCTTGATCATAGGTGGAATTGTGTGCTTCGGTATCAACATCTGTGGTTGTTTATCTGTTAAGCTATTCACGGACCCTTAAAAGCCTCTAAGATCTGCATGATTTTGGGGCTCTAACTGATAACTTCAAAGCTCATCAGTGGTAACAGACTGGATTCTATTAAAACAAACTTAAGCACTTTGATAGCAAATACAGATATGTACAGTGTCAGGTTTCCAGCACAATGCAGGCAGTAATTAGGCTAATAATGAGTTACAATTACAGAGACCTTTACAGGGTTTTATGCTACGACATCCTCAGAAATTATGATGCAACAAAGCCCTTGAGCATGTGCGTAACTTAAGTAAATTAATAGTGTCCTGGGTTTCACTGAAACTGTTTGCCCATATGCAAACTGTTGTTTGCCCATATGCATCTATTTAGGAGTTGCTGGGTGAGGGCATAGCCTTCTGTAGATTGAAGATGCTGTGCAGATGTTCATCTTACAACAATTGGGTGTCTTACACACTAGCTACTTGATGCTGGCAGTGATTGTACTGTTGTACTTACAACAGTCAGTGATTCGTGCACTGTTTTGTCCCTTTGCATTTGATAAATTACATTAAAATTTCCTAGAAATTTTTCAGTGGCTGCAACTGTGTGACTCTGTAACTTAATCTAAAAAGCTGTCATAACTAGCCAACATCTTAAATGCAGTGAATTGTTTTCTCTGTAATATCGTAGCTGAAATCCGGTCCATTCCAGCTGTCAACAACAATGACACTTAACTAGACCATATCATGGCTTAACCCCCGCTGGCAGTGGAGCACCACATGCCCACTTGCTCAGTCCCCCCTGCCAGTGGGACAGGGGAGAGAATTGGGGGAAAAAAGTGAAACTCATGCGTAGAGATAGAGACATTTTCATAGGATGGAAAAGGAAGGGATGATAATAGAACACACAAAGGAAGTGATGCTCAGTAAAATTACTCACCACCTGCTGAGCAATGCCTAGCGAGTCCCTGAGAGGTGGTGCCCCCCAGCCAGCTCTCCCCAGGTCATATACTGAGCATGACATCATATGGCATGGAATATCCCCTTGACCACTTTGGGTCACCTGTCCTGGCTACGTCCCCTCCCAGCTTCTTGTGCACCCCCCCCCGACTTAGCATAAACATTGCTTAGCAACAACTAAAACATCAGCACATTATCAACGTCATTCTCATCCTAAATCCAAAACACAGCACTCTACCAGCAACTAGGAGGAAAAATAATTTTATTTCAGCTGAAACCAGGACATTTGGCCATTATTTGCAGGTTCCCACATTGTTCTGTAACTTGTTGGCAGAGAACTCATTAGCAGCACTTCGCAAGGATTTTTTACCTTCTGTTGCAGATGATTACTAGAAACACTAAAACTGTTTTTATTACTATAAAATAAAAAGGTGTACCTGTTTGGTTTAGGTTGCCATGTATTTAGATAAATATATGTGGGTTTTTATTTCATTTATTAAATTTACAGCAGAACTCAGAATCTACAGGTTATTAGATTAGGTCAAGAATGGGAAGAGTCATGGTTTAGTTATGTTGGAATATTATGGCTTCATGTAGAGATTCATGAGCAAATGTGGTTTAAGACTCCAAGAATTTAAATATGTTTGAAAATAACATGGGATTCTGAGAGCTCTGCTTTTACTAATTCCTTATCTCATAAGTAGCTCCATTGATACTAATACAGATACTTTAAAACAAGATGCTACACAGTAAAAAGATGGGGGAAAATATGGACCTTATGGAGCTATGTCACTCTGTACATCCTTGTATTAAACCAGATGGTGTGACAAATACTGGCCTTTACTGCCTGACTCACAGCGTGCTTATCTACAAAATTAGATGTGATCTAACATATGAAGATCTGGTAGCATTCTACATTCACTTTGTGTGAGGTTTCAATGATACACAAGTATGGATGCAAGGGAGAGTTAGACACCGTGCTAACAGTTGCTAAAACCCCCAAAAAAGAGGTTTTTTTTGTCACAGAAAGTATAAGCCTATGAATGTGAAACCTTAGTGATGCTACATAGCTTCACTGTAATTGCTGCCAGGAGAAGGAAATGAGAGGCTTTGGCAGAATGGAGGAAATGAAAGTGTTTATCTTCTGAAAGTACCTCTCCTGTCCGCAGTCAGCACTGCCTTCCTCACGGCGTTACCTGTGCTCCTCCATGGGCAGTGGTGCCAAAAGCGTCGGCTGGTAGCCCCGGCGTAGTTGCACACACAGTAGGTGTTTAGCAGCCCAAGGATTGTGGATGTCCTCGATTACCCCGGGGCTTACTCAGACCTGTTGAGCTGCTGTAGTCCTGTGCTATGAAATGGGTATGTCAGGCCGTGACACGTCAGGCCGTGACATGGGGTCCAGACTGTCAGGCAGTGCCCACACGCTTGGGTGCAGTCTGATGTAGTGCACATAGGTGGTGGCCTGGCAGATGTGCACATCTGTCTGCCGGCTCGGGTGAGCTGGGGCAAGAAGCAACAACAGTAAGTGTGTGGTGGGGAGTAGTGCTTCAACACCCTCATGCTGGAGTAGGTCCCTTCTATTTTTTTCTATGAAGTACAGAGGTTACAGCACAGCTGGAGACTGAGGGAATGTGTCTTATGCCCAAAGCTTGAGATCTGGCAAACGTAGCACGTAAAACCTATCCAGCTAGGTCAGGAAGCCACTCTCTGCCCCTTTATCTTCTCAGTTCTAGAGTATTTAGGTGACACTCTAAGAGGAAGTAATTGTTTTTAAAAAATGGAAAAAAACAACCAAACAAAACATCAACCACCCAGGCAGGATGCAAAACAAGAAGTTGGGAATTAATGCAGCTATTCTGCCAAAATCTGGATTTCCAGTAATTAGTGGTCATTAGGAAAAGCAGTACGCTTTATGACCTAACCTCAAATGATCAAGCCATTCTTAATTAAGAGAAAATTATTTCCTGATCTAAGTGGAATGGGAAACTGTAGTAACAACTTATAATTTAACAAAACCAGCTAGGGTGTGATTTGGGTAGCGTTAGCTGCTGTCAAATATGGAACAACTCCTGAGTTTGAACAGAAAATTCTTTCAGTAAAGAGAAACTATTCTCCATATAGTGGCAGAAATTGTATGTTGCATGGGCACAGGAACGGAGTGCAGTGCAAATGTCAGCTTTGCAGATTCAACAACAGAAGGAGATCCTGGAAGAGTATTTTAGACATTTTTATACTGAACTGGAACGTGTTTTGGATCTTGCTGTGTGAAACATGAGACTCTGAAATACAACCCGCAAAGAGATTTAGGCACCATAGCTGCTTTTTCATGTGCTCCAGTAATAGAATCCAGAAATGAGAGTTAGATGTCTAAACCTCGTGTTCAGCTAGCACTCACCACAAAGGAGGGAATTGCCTAGAGAAGGCCAGGAGAGAAGCATATTTCAAGTAAACCCTACCTCCTGTCCTCTCAAGTCCAAGGCATTTTATTCCACAGTATCATGAAGTACTCCAAATTACTGTGTTTTGCGTAGAGCCAAGTCAGAGAGAGTTGAGGAAGTGCCTCAGTTCTTGAACTGTGATGGTACCAGGAAGTAAACTTCAGCTGTGTTAAGGCTGAAGTGTTTCTGGGCATTTACAGTAGCAAAATTTAAGCATAGAGGGGGACTTCTGGAGCTTAGGTTAGAGCTGAGAAGGGATTTTGGGGTCTGAAAGCTTGTATTGTACTGCTTAAACTATTATAAATTTGGCCTGTATGTCCCTTTTGTTTTATCTGAGCCGTGTGAAGGGAGAGTTCAGTAAGCTCTAATAGCTTTAAAGTGATATAAAATGTCAGCAGATGTACATACAGATGAGCATGTGCCTCTTAATTTGAAAGAACGTAGGTTTGAGGAGAGGGAGAGTTTCCCTTTAGGACTAATCACATTAGAGAGTCGCTTATGACTGGCAAGTGAAGCTCTCAGGTGGGTCTAACACTGCTTGTCTGAAGCTCCTGTTATCAGGGCTTGATGCATCTTTCAGTGCTGGGTTTTGTTTGTGCCGAGACTGGAAGAATTAGGTATGTATTGCAGCCCAGACTGATCCTTTTATTTGCTTTTCAGGATTTTCTTTTCCACGGGGCTACTTTTGTCTTCTATTTTGGAGCTTTTCTACTGCAAGCAGCAACTACATCTCTGCATCACTTTCCCCGCAAATTCAATTCCACCGCACCGGAGAAGATTCTGGCAGATCATGAATATAACATCAGCATAGCAGCCTCGGTACGTGTTTCATAGCTCTGTACCTGGGGAGCAGGAGTCTGCTGTGAGCCCTTGCAGCCAGCTGTTCAACTTGGGAACTGAACAGCAGGCCGGAATAGAAAGAGGAGCTGTGAGAGAAAGGAATGTCTTTAAAAGCAACAAATAGTGTCTAATGGTGACATGCAAGAAATACTGGAATAAGCTAATCTGATAAGTGCTCAGCTGTTTTTTCCCTACAGTGTTTTAAATACATGGTCATTGCAGCTTACGATTTTTAGACAAGGGAAAAAGTAACAACTGAGCCCTCATTGAAGCATCAGGTGTGAATCATGCCTGTGCTCAAACTTCCAGGTGCTTTTTTTATATCATTTAGATAGTCCTGAACATGCCATGGGGAAAAATGCCTTGGACTAGCTCCTTGTGAAGCTCTAGGTATATACTTAACTATGCCAGGCATAAAAGTTATCTGTAAGGGCCCTGCTGTCTCTTATGGCAAGGATTAGAGTGCTTTTATTGATAACCCAAGATCAGATTGCATTTTTCTCACTGTAATTGCATCATCACCGTATCTGATGATGTGGGTGTACATAGCTGAGTCAGAAAATATACCAGGCCCTAGCTTTCTCCCTGGGCTGAGCTCCTGGAGGACAGGTAGGGGTGTGCCAGGAGGCTTAACTTAAAGAACTGGAACTGCTGCTCTTTTTTTTTTTTTTTTTTGTACCACCTACACGGTCATGCATACCTCAGGGAACTGTATATATTTATTAAGCCTCTAAATCCCTCTGTGGGTATCTGTTGCCCTTAAAACTAAATACACCATAAGTTTTGCACAGTAAACACCTTCGGTTCATCTAAGATAAAACCAGGTGAATGTAGGGTGTAAGGTTCCCATTCTTTCTGCAAGAGGAGAATGAACAGGGAAAGCGTGTTGCTTTCCAGGCCAGTCTCTGAGGGGTAAGGTGGGCATGCCAGCCTCCAAGTCCAGAGCACCTCGCCAGTACCCACCTCCCAGTAATACACTGGAGCACTGATTCCTGTGTGGCCATATGGCACAAGGACAAAGGTGGCATCTTGTAGCTGTGCATGAACTAGTGAACTAATTAACTAACTTTATACAAATTCTACCCTTAAATGTAGCTCTTCAGTCCAGTATGTTCAGGTCACTTCAGTCATTTTGTCTGGTAACAGGATACTGGGGACTCCAAGAGACCCTTTCCCCCTTCCATACTGTTTCTCTAAGGGGGAATTCAGTTCTTCAAGACCCTCAAATCCCTGTCAAGATAGAGGAGTAGACTTTTTGTAACTTGCTTCAGTATTTTTAATTAAGAGATTCTGGGAAATGGTGGATTGGATAACTGTAGTCTTGAGTGTCTTTGTGTTTTCTTCCAAAGGTATATAATTAGAAAGTCAGGACATACAGAAAAAAATCGTAATCCTTTGAAACTCTTCATTAAAGCCCGTCATCTGCATGAGGGAAAAAGAAAAGGTTGCTAACATTTTATCTTCTAAAATTAATTTTGCATACTGTGGTTAAAAATATATACATTCATTTTATAGGGGCGATAGGTCTAAGAGATAGAATCCACAGTTAGTACTGGACAGTATCAGAATTTTTTTTTTTCAGCCATTCAGTTTCTTGTTTCTTCCTTCTGTTTTGCATTATATATTCATGTTTCTGTGGCATGACCTTCAGTTCCAGTCTGCTCAATTCGGTTCTTGAGCAGCAGCAGCTTCCTGGCATTTCTCAGGAAATTGTTCTGATGGCTGACTAGCAGGTCAAGGAAGCCACGCTGAAGCTGTTCCTGTATTTCTGAAAGTAAAGGAGTTCTGCTGTTCAGAAGGACAACTTCTTAGTTGTTTGTTGGTCAGGGCATTCACTTGGCAACAAATCTAATGTTTGATCAGTCTGGATAAGAGAAAGCTGAAACACACAGTGTGCATACACACATGATTACTCTGTATCATAGCTCACACAGACATTCTGTTTCATACTCTATTTCAAAATGTCTTCTGAAGCAAGCAAATAACTTAAAAACCGTAACATGGGGTTGTAACAGAGAGGTTCATGAGGCAGCTTCAGAAGGTCCCAAACTTATCTTCACCCTAAGAATTTTGGTAGTGGAAGCTAACTTTTGAATGATTTGTGTTCCTGTATTTATTAAGACTAGGAAAAGAAAAATGTATAACAATATAATCTGTGGTTCACTATTTTCTTTTTTCTTCTTTTTTTTTCCCTGCTCCTCAAGATTTTTGCCTTTGCAACAGCTGTTTGTTATGGTTGCAGCACAGCCCTGGCATTAAGGAGGTGGAGGCTATAGCAGTTGAAGAGTTGAAGAGAGGTTCCTGAGTGTTCCACTTCAGATTATGTGCTACTTGTATGTTTTACTGTAATCTCATTCCCCAAAGACTTTTTTTCCTTAAAATCTGTTTTAAAGTGCTGAAATGCAAATAACCCCTAATCAGGATTTCTTGAACATAAAGCAAATTCCCATCTCTTCCCTTTCTAATTTTTACTTTTATTGTGTACTTGTTAGAAACATACTCATTGTGTGGTACTACAGCATTTAAGGATACACAGATGTGTCACTAGCAGATAACAGGATTCTAGTGCTAAATCAGAAAATGAAGAAAATGGAAACTCTACAAGTATGTTAACTGCATAAGCAGCTAAAAAGCTCCCCCCTTATTAGGTCCTTGGGCTGTGTGAATTCCACACAGGTGGAGCCTTGAGGCTGCCTGTAGAGGCGTGAGCTTTTTCTGTATGCTGCTCCTTGCATGATCACAGCCCAAGCTGTCTTTGTGATACCAGCTTAATATATATATTGTTAACTTTGATGTACAGAGAAGATATTTTAAATATCCATCCAGTGAAATCTTTTGATGCTCTTTTATAGCCAGATCCAGCTGTGGTTGTCTGATTCTTAAAGCTTACTGTATTCCTTACTAGATGGAAACTTTTGGGGACTGTCAGTCAGTAGTTCCTTAGGTTTAGGAATTTAGCTTAATCAGATCTATTTATACTTCAAACCAAAACAGTGCGTTTGTGTTGTGTGTGTATGTACATCAGATATTTTTGTTTAATCAAGGAATACTTGCACTGTTTTACTTGTTGGAGCACAGCTTTATTTTTGTTACTTCAAGTGCTGCATTTGTTACTTACGATGTGAGTCAATATCATTTGAATGGAATGTTACCAATTGGTGAATAATGCCTGACCTCAGTTCTTGCAGTGTGTTATTTGCTGCACTCTAAACCTGCATTGTTGTAAAGGTGTTTTATTTGTTTTTATTTTTAAAGATGCCTGTGCAACATCTTACTGAAAGCAGTGAAATGCAGAGCAGTCCACCCACTATGGAGTTTGCCTTTGGCACAAATGAAGTTTAATTGAGCCTCTCTTGAACACTGCTGTTGTATAATGACAGGCAACATTATATATAGAAAATTAATTTAACAGAAATGAATGACAGTGTTGTGCTCTGCTTCCTAACGCTCCTGCCGTTTTCCAGGCGGTGAAACTTTTTTTTTATAATGCTAGTAAATAATTTTTGCTCTTGTGAATGGTGCCAAATTGATAACCTGGGAGAGTAAAGGCCCCCTGTCATTTGTAAAATAACTTGCTCACCACATCTTGCCAGTGCACCTGAGTGTTCTGCAGAGACCAGCAGTGGTTGGGTAAGGGAAGACAGGACTCACTTCATTCCCAGGCCTACTCATTCTCCCTGAGCCAAAAGGGCGTCTGCTGTGGAAGTTACCTAATGAGGGCTGTCAGGCACGAGGCTCTGCGGGAGCCAGCCAGGCAGCCAGCCTGCCTCCCTCCGTGCAGGCCCTGCCCGCCCCGAGCAGTGGGTGGCAGCCCTTCCGACTGCCGGAACCACTCCGTCGGCCTGAATTACTGCAGTGGGATGTTTCCTCTGTCTTGTTTGCTGAAATTTTTATCTTGCAAAGATTTTGTACTCTGGCTGATTTATTTTTTTTTCCCCTAATTCTCTACTTCCATTGAAATTCTTCTGTGAACATTTTATCTAGAGCCATATAATTTAAAAAATACTTCCTATTGCATAAAACACGTTTACACCGGACTATGTGGGTGAAAGTATATAACAAAAGACTTGTGCCAAGCAGCATTAAAGTTACTTAATATATTTATGGAAGTAGAGTGGTTATTAATTCTGTCTTTGGAAAGCGTCAAAAAGCCACCATGCAATTTTGACTGACCTGATGCTAGGCACATAAAATGAAGGCTAAGATTTTGTGAGAAGGCACAGTTACATTGGTGCAGTGACACAGCAGGAATATTAGTGAGGAGCAAAGTTCACTTGGCTACAACAATGTTGCAAATGGGGGTTGATCTTTGGTGTGGTTTCTTCTTTATCCTACAGTCTGGATGTGCACTGCACACCACAAACCATGTATGCCACAGCTATGGTCTCTGCAGCCAGGGAAAGATCTTAACTTGCTGTTTATTTAAAGCTACAGAATGTAAATCCCACACAGGGTGTCTATTAAAAAGCTCCTCAAGTTTAGTTGTAATTTGTATCTGACCTCTGGCTTCAAACTCAAGGAGTAAAGATCATGATTGATAGGTGCTATTCATCTCTTAAGCTGCTTGTAGAATTCTAGATAGCAGAGTGTGGTTAGCGTAGCATGGAAACTGTTTGTCTAGTGAGGAAAGGCTGAACTTTCCCTCTTAAGTATCAAACAAAGGGCAGAGAAGAGATAAAGGTAAAAACTACAGTAATGAAGAATGGCTTTCATAGCTAAAAGGGAGTGAAAGAACAGAAATTTTCTGTTGGTATGGAAGGAGTTCTGCTGTACTTTGAGAAAGTTCTAAGGAAGGACACACTAGAACAAGCAGTTACATTCTTTAAAAAAAAAAAAAGGCAGTAGTTAATTTTGTATTACTTCATGCAAGGAGCTAAAAAGTTAGGTGTGACTCAGGACTGGTATGTGCATGCTGGGGTGGCTGTGTGCAAATACTGATACGGGAGTAACGTGCAATCCCAGTGATCGGTATTATACACACGCTCGTTCTAATAAATCCCTCCTCCCAGTACAAAAGTTCCCCCAAGCTTGTGACCTTCAAGAGAACAAGCTGAGACCTCTCTAAAGAATGGAAGGAGTAGGAGAGGACGTAGGGAGATCATTTATTTGAACAAATTCAAGATGAAAGGAATGAGACGACAGATTCCAAAGGGTCTTCTCATCTAAGATCTCTGATGTGAAGCTGCAGTGCAGAAATATCTAAGATACCGTGCAGGTCCCTAGTCTTAGAATCAGAAAATATTTCATGCTATTTTGGATACCAATATGTAGTAGCTACTGGGAAATAAGCTTAGAGACTTTCCTTCAAAGGGTGAAGAGAGAAGCAACATTTTGTTGCTTATTGGTAAAGAGAAATGAAATGGCACATTTTAGAACGTGAAACTTTTGCCAGACCTTGCTCAGAAAATATGTGCAGCAAGTGCTTCACAGAAAGTCTGACTGCTTTTGTCCCACTGAATGCAACCCAAGGTGACACAGGTCATAGAATTGTTTAGGTTGGAAAAGACCCTTAAGATCATCAATTCCAACCACTAACCTAACTCTACCAAGTCCACTGCTGCACCATGTCCCCAGGCACCATATCTACACAACTATTAAACACATTCAGGGATGTTGGTTCAACCACATCCCTAGGCAGCCTGTTCCAGTGACTGATAATCCTTTCTGTGAAAAAATTTCTCCTAAAATCCAACCTAAACCTCCCTTGATGCAACTTGAGGCCACTTCATCATCCTATGACTTGTTACTTGTGAGAAGAGACTGACTCCCACCTCTCTGTGGTGATTACTGATACGTACAGGGTCAGTTTGTTCATATTCTTATGATTTTTCTGGCTGTGTGCATTGGTTTTAACTCCTGATTTGAGTAAAATTATGCTGCTGTAAAATGCCTTTAAATGAGAGGGGCACAACCAGTGCTCACACAATTCTGTGCCCTTCATAGGAAGTTAAAGCACTGGAAAATCACGAGACCAGTGCTTCCTTCCCTAGCTTCCAAAACCAGATGACAATGCTGACTCCCGTTGCCCTTCATCTAATCACTGTATTTTTGCATTTGCTTTATAACTTTTTTTTTTAAAGTTTGACTTTCATCAGTTTCCCATCTGAATTTGAAAAAATAACGTTGGGAGAGCTTAAAAACACTGATAGCTCCATTTTTTTCCATTTTTATCTCTGGGCTGTAAAATTGTCTCCAAACACTAGTGTCCTGGTGCATTTCACGCTCCATTGCCAGACCAAGTTGTACAGAAAGGCTTCCCAGGTCTTGTCTGTGGGTAATGGTCAGCCATGAGTTCTCAACTGAGATGCAGATAGGATATTGCTCTTTTCAATCTTCAAAAAAAGAAAAACTTGAAAGTAAGAGAATGTTGTATTTCTGTGTACAATTGGGCACGACATATCGGGTTTTGTTGAGACAAACCATCACAAGAACAAGCAGATCTGATGTATTAAATCAGTAAACAGCAATGGAGAATATCGAAACTCTTCTTTAGAATTTGAGTTTGGCATAACTGTTCCCTTTTCTCCCACTAGATTAAGTTTCTTTTGGTACATTATGGTGCTTATCTAAACCCCCTTCTAACGTGGGCAGCTCAGAATTCGCTGTATTTATACTCAGGGTGCTCCTGGAAAGAGAAGTGCTGTTCTCATTTCACAGGTGGGAAACTCAGACACAGAGACACTAAGCAACTTCTTTGCTGATGGCCTCGCACAGGAGATCTGTGGTGCAGCAGGGGAAGGAAGCCTGGTTTCTCCAGCGAGAGGTCAGTGCCCTCCCTGCCAGCAGCCTGTACTGCAGCCGCTGGGGGCAGGGAGGAAGCGGTATAGCCAGGCTTGTATGGGACCCGTCCCACTTCTCTCTGTCGTGGTGCTACTACTCTGGCAATGAGTTACACAGGGTTAAAAGGTAGAATGGATGTTTGTGAAGGATTATGAGTCAGAGGGAGGTTTAACGTGCCAATTTGGTATTTCTAGATCAAACATCATAGTTTCTGGGTGTTCTGACCTTAAATTTTGATTATCCATTTGTCAATAGGCTACATAGAGTTCCTGTTTGAGGTGTTGATCTATCTCCTGCATCTTAAAAGAGGAAACAGGTCCTCAGGAATCTGCAGGTTTCAGCTGCTTCCTTCTATACAACTTGTTCAAGCCCTAAATTCTTGGCGTTAGCAAAAAAATAATCACCTGCCTTAAGCCTGCCAGGACACAGCACCTTTCAGTTCAGAAACCTGAGCTAAGCTTGGGCAACTAACTTGTCAAATTCCCTTTCAAAGGAA